CCTCTCATCAGACCAGCTCAAAGAGCTCCTATCACATAAGAGCCTCTATCCTTTGTCCCCTTTTAAGCTTCGACATTTTCACAGAGAAAATCCTCCTTTCTTACTTGATTCCAGCTCTCTCAAGCCTGCTACACTTCTTCCTACAGCCACTAACTATCCTTACCCATTCCTACCTAGAATCCTTTGAAACCCTTATTTACAAAAATCCAGTTTTCTACTTCCCCTGTTATGTCCTGACTATCCTTTGTTCATAGATTGATCCTTATCTCTAGCTCGACTGGCTTCTGCCAAACAGGTTATGTCATAGTCTTTGCTGACCAAGTTGTAGCGTTTGCCCCATTACCGCCAGGCACTACTTCTCAGAAGGAAGAGCTCATGGCCCTCACTAAGGTCCTCACCATAGCATGGAATCAAGCCATCAACATATACCCAGATTCTAAATATGTATTCCACATCCTACTCAATTTGGCAGGAGAGGGACTTCCTCACCATCAAGGGTACATATATTACCAATGGACCTCTAATTCTAAAGCTACTAGAAGCCTCTTATCTTCCTAAGAAGATAGCAGTTATCCACTGTCAAGGTCATCAGGCCCCTACTAATGGCATAATTTTGGGAAATGCTTTTGCTGACAGGACTGCTGGAGAGGCCAGCCAATATCTCTGCCTTCCTTCCTCTATTTTCCTCTTGGCTCTGCCAAGCTTAACTCCTACCTACTCTGAGTCCCAATGACAGCCCCTTCCCCCCAGGATATGGGGGTTGTTGTGGGCCCTCAAGGCTGGCTCCATCCATATTACAGAACAGGTACTGTGTCCTTGATGCTTGAGCAAAATCATTCCTGACAGCTAGTCTCAAATCCTTTCACATTGGTTCTTGACCTCTCTACTGCTTCCTCCAACTTCTCTTCTTCTATCCAGCCTTTCTGACCTCCTTAAGGCTATCTCAGGGATGTTCCACCTGCACCCAAACCTCCCAAAGAAGGCTTGCAACCCCCTCATTTCTTCAACCCACATCAGTTTCAGGGTAATCCTCCAGGCAAAGACTGGCAGATTGACTTCCCACACATATGTCTAAACAAAAATCATAAATCTCATTTTTCAATGGTAGACACTTCCTTAGGATGGAAAGAAGTTTTCCCTATTAGGGCTGAAACTAAAGAAGTGGTCTGCTTCCACCTCGTGAATGGTATTTTAACCAGATTTGGACTTCCTAGATCCATACAACCAGATAATGGCAGAGCATTCATCTTTAAATCACTCAGTTACAAGGGACTAAAGCGTACAGTGGTATCGCCACATTTCCTACCACCTCTAGTCCTCAGGAAAGGTAGAAAGGGCTAATGGATGTATTAAGACTCATTCATCAAAACCATCTTCTGAAGTTCACCTTCCTTAGATTCAACTCCTACCTCTAGCCTTAACTCAAATTTGAGTTAATGTGCCGGGCGGTGGTGGCGCACGCCTTTAATCCCAGCACTCGGGAGGCAGAGCCAGGTGGATCTCTGTGAGTTCGAGGCCAGCCTGGACTACCAAGTGAGTCCCACGAAAGGCGCAAAGCTACACAGAGAAACCCTGTCTCGAAAAACCAGAAAAAAAAAAAAAAAAATTTGAGTTAATGTACATACATCCTTTTCTCTGGGAAAATTTACCCCCTCTGGAAGCAGCCCCCCTCCATGACTGCTTACCTTCTTTGACTCTCTTCCTCTGTGAACACGTTTATTGTGTCCTCCCTCAGCCTCCTACTGATCCTATCACCTAAACCATTTCACCAGGAAACTGGCTTTATTTGAAAGCCTCTCACTAACAGGCTCTCAACACACACTGTTTGGGTTCATATTTTGTCATCCTCACCACACTAATGGCAGCTAAGCTTTAGGAGTTCGTAACTTGGACCCATAGGTCACAGTTCACACAGGCTCGGGATCACTTGTCGGATAAGTAGTTCTGTCTGTCAATGGCATCACTAAATCTTAACCTCTCCCACTTGCCCCCATCCCTAAGGATGCTGTCTCCTGTCTACTGCCTATCCCTAATGGTGGGCTCTTTCCTTCCCCTGCTCATGGAGCTCTTTCCCACCCTCTCAGCTACCAAGACTACATGACAGGCCTGGAAGTTTCAAATATATGCCCAGTATAAAAATCCCACTGAGCTTCTTAACTTTTCCCTCTGTCCATAGTCTATATCTGTCTCAGCACATATCTGCTCAGCTAGTAGATTAAATCCAGGAATCATCTTCAGCCCTGCAACTGCTCCAAAACCAACTCATCCCCCTAGCCTCGGTGGTCCTACAAAACCAGCAAGCGCTGGACTAGTAAACTGTCAAAAAAGAGGCACTTTTCCCTTCCTCAATGAAGAAGTTTGCTACTATCTGGACAAGTGAAAGAGAGGATTACAAACTTACACACCCTGGCTTGAGAAACTGTTAGCGCCTCCAGGACCTGACTCCAGCGCTGAATTCTCCCTATAGTCGTCTCTGGGGCCCTGGCTCCTTCCACTACTCAGCCCACAGCTCTCTATCTTTCTCATAATAATTACTACTTCCTCTCCAGATTCCTTCAAGAGAGAATTAGTGAAATAACCTGACAGGCAGTAAACCAGAGGTTCCTTCTCATTGCCTGCTGGCTTGAGTGCTTGAGTCCCTGCTTTGGACCAGCATTCCAGACTCCCAGGCTCAAATCCCCAAACAGCAGAAAGTATCCTGAGGGCTATTATTGCTCCTTTATCATAACAAAAGGCTGGAATGTTGGGTACAAAGTGGATCTCAAAAGTATCAGTGCTAGTGACAATGTCCTAAACAGAAGGGCTCTGACTATGTAAATAGAAGGGTTGTTATTGGGTAAACAGAAGCCTAACTTAGCATTCCTTGAAAGGTGGGTTTTTGTTAATCAGGAAATCAGATCTCCTAAGGCAAGTTTCTGTTTACCAGGAAAACCAATACCTCCCTTATCTCCCAACCACAGTGGTCAAATACTTGGGCAAAGGCATCTTGTTTCCCAAACAGCCTGTATTATCTCAAAGACCTTCACCTTGCTGACTGTTACCTCAAACCTGCTTGCTTTCCTGCTAAATTGCTGTCCTTTATTCTCAGAGGCATCTGGCAAGCAGTTTATTCTGCCAGTAAACTTTTCTTTCTTCTCATGGGGTGTCCAGTTTGGTGGTTTCACTGAGCCCTCACTTATAACAATCTCATAAGTAAAGAAAAATGTAAAAAGTGGGGCCTAACTGGAAGATGTAGTTTACTAGGGCAGGTCCTTCCATTGTTTTGTCAATGGTCACTTCCTGTCTCTGACTGCTGCCACTACATCATGAGGTAAGCAACCTTTCTCTGCATATGTTCTTGCTGCCATTATGTTCTACCCAAGTCCATGGGTCAAAACCACAATGGAATAAACTCTCTGAAACTGTAAGCCAAAATAAACAATGCCTTCTTTAATTTTTTGTCAGGTATTTCAAAACAGCTGTGTAGAATTAACTAATCCAAGTAGTTTTGTTAAAGTAAAGGTTAATTTAAAAAAGTAATGCTACTCTGTTATCATATGTTGAAAGTATATAAATTGTTTCTGGTTTTATAAGAGCCCACTGGACTCTTAATTAAGAGATATTGGACTTTTATGGAGACTTTGGAATTTTAAATTTGGACTTTTTTTTTTTCAGACAGAGTTTCTCTGTATAACAGCCCTGGCTGTCGTGGAACTCTTCTCTGTAGACCAGGCTGGCTTGGCCTTGAACTCACAGAGATCCACCTACCTCTGCCTCCCAAGTGCTGGAATTAAAGGCATGCGCCACCACTCCCAGCTTGAATTGTGTTTTATGTTAAGGGAAAAGTGCAAATTTAGAGCCAAACACATGGAAATTTATGACTTAAAGTGATGTGTTTGAGTGTTAGGTTGACAAGGGATGGAGCTTGGTTAGTTTTAGTTGTCAACTTTCAAGTTCCTTCTGCTCTGACTTCCTTCCTGTGATGAACTGAAACCTGGAATTACAAGCACAAACGAACTCTTCCTCCCCTAAGTTGTTTGTTGTCTGGGTATTTTGTTACAGCAGCAGAAATGAAACTAAAACAGTCATATTAATCTCTTTTATTCATTTTTTTTTAATTTAAGTAATTTTTCATAGGGGGATAATTGTTTAAATTAATAAATTAAAGGGTCCTTGGACTAAGATTACATGTACATTTTTTTCTTATACACTAAACTGAATCAAACCTCTTTTAAGGAGTGGGGTGGCACTTTATCATATAAACATTTCATAACATATATCTAAAGGAGGCACAGAGAAACATACATACTGATAACAAAAATATAAAAACATACCCATAGGCTAACAAAGGCACCGGTTGACAAAACCACACAAACAATTACCTGAAATTAACAGTTACTACAAGCACTCAGATAAAATTTTAAAAGAAGATACAACATAACTATATTTAATTAGGGTACACTCAGTAGAAACATAGAAAATGTATACTCAGAGACACAGAGTTTAACCTAAACATTGAGAATAGTCTAGTGAAGGTGAAAAAAATAAAAAACAAAGCATGAAATGTAAACCTAGGTTAAAGAAGAAATCTACTTAGTAATGAATAATCAGGCAAAGAGCTAGAACTGGAGACCACTTACATGGTGAGGAGAGATTTGATGATATTTCAAGATTAGGGTCTGGTAATCAGAGTAGTTTCTGAGGATGTATACAGTGTTGAGTTTAAGAAGACAGAAGGCATGATTTACTGTAGTCCTACCACAGGTGTAATGCTCACCCCAAAGGTCTAGCCTGGGGGCAATGGACTTCTCCTCTTTTCAGGCGTGAGACCCAGTCACACTATAGACTCTGAGGGTAGGCCTTTTTCTGGGTAACCCTGAGAATCAGTACATTCCTGGCCCATGGATGTGAAACCAGTTTTACTCTGCAGTTAAACCCATCTGGTTGGTCAAAAGGACCATGACTTAGTCATGAGGAAAAAGATGACTCATTGTTCTACAAAAAAACAGTAATATGGTTACCTGTAGTTCTCCTGAATCAGGAACTGTGGCCAGGAAGAGAAAATGTCAGGAATAAACACCATCAGCCAAGTGCTCTGCTCCCTCATCTCTGCAGAGAAAGCAAATGCAGGAAAACACAAGTGAAGGGACACAGGGAGAAGAGAATTCTCACATTATTTGTGGAGTCACTCTAGAAAAGCTAAATGACACATTGAGAGTGAATGGAGTTTTCTAGAAGGGAGAAAAGTAGCCCCTTACACCCTGCAAAATATAGTGGGCTTCTCTTTTTCTGTTACCTTGAGGCCTCATCAAAGTTTGAAACTGGTCAGAACTATTCAATTTCTAATGGAAAGTAAAACTTTCCACAAGAGGCTGAAAGGAATTCCTTAGTTTTCATAAGCAATAGCAGCCCAGAGTAGCACTACAGAGGCTCTCCTATTTCCCTATAGAGCTATGCCAGTCATATATTCTCAATTACCTGTGGGCCATGCAAGTGGCTTACCATCTCTGAACCACCCAACTTCCTGAGTGTCAGAAAAGGAAGCACTTAGGGTAGGTAGTCTCACGGACTTTGTTCTCTTAGCTTCTTCAATTTTGGCATGCTAACTCATCTCTGTCATGGAATTTGTTTGAGCTCATGAAGTAATACATGAATGGTCCTAACGCAGTAAACATCCAGTCTACATGGGGTAAACTCAATATTCTTGTTAGCACTGTTCTGGAGGAGCTCAGTATGGGCTTCTAGCATTGATGACAACCAGCTGAGTCAAACAAGGGCAATTTCTACAGAAAGGCAAGATTCAAGAGACAAATCAGCATGTCCTTCATGCCAGAAGTCAAGCTTTGTGTTTGAACTGAGACTCAACTGTGATCAAACGACTTTGTGACCACTGTGACCCACCATCTAGATGCCTTTTGGATCACAGCTTCCTAGAGAGTACATGTGGCATATAGTCCTCATTTGTTCCCCCCCAGCTCTCCATGAATACCTCAGCTAATGGGATACATTTGACTTAAGATCAGTCTCTCATATGGTCCAAACTCAAAAACTGCTCAAAGTCTGAGTCTAGGGGGTCTGTTCATTTGGGCCTAACTTGAGACAATTCTGAAAGTATTCTGGCTTCAACGCTCCCTGTTTAGCTGGCTGAGGGGCCTTATTGTGGCATCAGCACAGTCTGACTCCTTTTCCTCAGGCATTTTCTTTCCCTTCCCTATTCCTGGGGTTGCTGGCCGAGTTACCCCTCCTAATTATCCTTTGTTTGTCAATGTCCAACTTAGCACCCAATTCACTGGGAAAACCAACCAGCAACAGGTGTGGAATTGGACTTAAACTAGTACAAATCAACTCCTCTGTGCCCAGGCCTCAGAGAGGGACTACCTGATGGGCACTGTGGCTGCTGCTCTTTCAAAGCCATGTCTGGCTCTTGGCTTGTTCTTGGCAGTATAGACAGCAAATGCTAGGAGGTAGCCAGAAATGTGAAATGAGCAGAAGGTAGAACACTCCACTGCCCGTAAGCTTGGCTACACTTAGAAATTCTCTTCACAGCATCCTTCCAACTCCACCTCTTGACATGGACCTTCTGAATAGGCAGGATCTTGCAAGACCAACAAGATCTCTTTATTTAAATCTTAAACATATCAGGATTTTTGGTCCTAGTTTATCAGATGTTAGTCAGTAGGGATGGTCAGAGCCTACACAAGGACAAGCCAAAGTCTGCCTGACAAAATACACATTAGCCACATTCTTAAAGGCCAATCAGATGCACTTAAAAATATAGACAGCCACATTCCCTGTTATCATCATGAGGTAGAAACTTTTCTTTGTTACCTTCGAAGTCCATTGAAGCTTGAAGATTAGAGCCTTGTCTTAATGTACTAAGTGCACGGCTCTAATCTATGCCCCTCTGGCACCTTGTGATAAGGAAGAAAAATCTGCTTTTTCATTTTCTATTTCTTCTATTGTAAAATTATCTCCTCTCTGTGACAGTGGAAAAATTAAAATGGAAAAGAATAACAGTAATTTATATATATACTATTAATATTACCTGGTTATTTTCATGCACTATCATTAATATTCATGAAGTATCCAAACATGTATATCGCATCTATTTTCTTCCTGATACAAACCAAACTTCCATATCCTAGAAAGCTTCTATGCCACAGCTCTGCAGCTTCAGAAAGACTGTGAAAGGTACTCTGTAGTATATATCCACCTTGGGAATAGAAGGAACAGAATGAAAAACATAACCATAATGGCATGCTAGAAGCTGTGTCCTCAAACCTCATTTCAGGATCAGAAAGGAGAGTAACTACTGCTAAAGATAACAGGTCTCAGCAGATTCATAAGCACCTAGGCTTCTGGCTGTTTTTATCTTTCTGTTTATTAAAAAAAAAACTTTATTTATTGATCTGTTGGTGGCTGAGCTCTTTTGACATACAAAGAAAACGAGTGGTATGAGTTTTCTAAAGAAGCATGCACAGTGACAGTCTCACTTTCATAAATTTATTGTCCCCAACATGCAAGAATCTGGAAGTATATACATAAGTTTAGTATTGCCACTTAATGCCCCTTTAAATAACTTTTGGCACACATTTCTGAGTTTGAATTTTTATATAAAGTTTGTGTATACTGTACTGTGAATGCAAAAATGAATGAGCTCTTTTACCTGGGACAAATGTTTGCTTACTAACTGTGACATATCAAGGAAAGACTTAATAGTCTAATGCTGAGGAAGTATAGATAGAAAATACTGAAGATCCATTGTATAGAGATACCCCTGACACACACACTTCTATCTGCACAGTTTTCACAGCATCACATCTTTGGTTAGTGCTTAAGAAGAGGAGAGAGCTTTATGTGCTAATCCCCAACTTAAATGGCCTCTGCTGGCTCTTTAATCTTCTTATGCATGCTGAAACAAGGACTATTGGAAAGAACTTTATTAGGAGTAAGAACACATATTTATGTCAAGGATCTGTTTCCTATTAATTGAATCGAAGAGTGATTTGACTGACTCTGTGCTTGTGTCACCTGTGTCTAAAGGGACAATGATAAAACATGATTACTACTGCTGCTGCTACCTAAGAGTTCTGGGATAGTTGCTCTGGGCTACACCCTGGTCTAAGAAGTAAAAACACTATACTTTCTTAGCATCACTTTTTGAGGAAGTTACTATTATTATTTTAAGTTTCCAGTTACAAAATATTAAGTACCAGGAAAGGGAAGTAGGTTACAGAAGATTTGGATAGTTTTCAGCAAATTAAGTAGCCACTCTGAGACTGTGCAGTGTGCAGTTTAGGCTGATACATCTACCATAAAGGGTTGAAATATGACTCCACTGAGATATATGTAAATATTTGATAAACAGGAAACTTTGTAAACATGTACACATCGATTTTAATTGTGTAGTATAGGTAGTTTAATAACAATTAACATTTGCATATAATTGTTCAATTTGCATCACGTGTAATTTACCAATAGTGTATGCCAGCCAGCATTCTGATGCTGAGAATACCAAGGAAACTTCTGGGAGCAGAATTAGAAATATGGACCCACTATATAACAATAAGTTTAAATGACCTGGCTCTTTCCAATAAATCTCTTTGCCATAGAACAGACTTCAGTAGAAATAAGCTTTACCTAAATTTCAGTCAGGTTCCTTCAGAGGAGCAGGCTTGGCCTCTTCTTTCAAAACCCCAATGAAATGACGCTAAAGACGTACAAGGGAATAAATGCATCTATAAGATGTATGCAGTTGTAAAAAGGATACAGGCTAACGACTGACCAGAGAGTTTTGACAAAATGCTGCAAGACTAGACACTTAGGTGGCACTTTGACAGGTGAATTTCTAGTGGACGCTTCAGGTCAGAACACAGGAGAATGCACCGGAAAAGAGACAGCTGAGAAGCCTCTGATAAGTAGAAATTTGGAACCCAAAGCTCAAAAGTTGGTATGGGGAAAAGGTGGAACTCAGATGGAAACACCATCACCCTAATAGTTGTAACAGATGTGGCACTCTCACATCCTTGGGAATGGAGACGCCTTTGCTTTCCACTAGAAAAGCTATTGCATTAGAGGGATGGGAAGGTCTGAAGTCCTGCAGTGCTTCTCGAGTATCTCGTAATAAATCCATGCTTGTTTTGACAATAGAGACTGTGTTCAACCTGCCTCCCTATTTCTGTCTTTTCATCTTGTAAAGTAAAGCTCCCCCAAAGATACTCTGCCTTCCATCTCAAGCAGAAAAGAAGATTGACACAGCATCAGGAAAAATCAATACAAACTATTCTTTTCTTCCTCAAAAACCAACCTGCCTCCACCTTTCTAAGTTCACATATACAAGCTAGGATTGCATGGAATTTGAGAAACCAACAACTCACACTAGAGAACCTAATGCAATGGATATTTTTAAAGACTCCATAGAAAAGGGAGATAATTCAAGTAATAGAAGTTCAAAATGAACTTCTATTTGAAGTCTTTTTAAAAAAATTAAAATATGTTTATATTTATTTTTACGTGTATGAGTGTTTAGCCTGCATGTATGTCAGTGTGCTACATGAGTGTGATGGCCACAGAGTCCAGCATGGGTGCTGGATCTCTTGGAACTGAAGTTTAAGATGCATGCGCATCACCATGTGGGTGCTGTGAACTAAATCTGTGTCCTTTGGACGAGCAGCCGGGGCTCTTAACTATTGAGCCATCTCTCTAGACACCCCTTTGAAATCTTTAGAGTTACTGCTATTACTTTCTTCAGGCTTTCTCCTGTTGCTATCACAGGCAGGGGCATGTGATTGAGGTCTCTTATTTTCAGAGACCTCTTGTTCCATCCTTTGGAGCTGCATACTGTATCTGTGAATATGGCTTCCTTTCCCTACAGACCGGCACCTCACAGACTTAAAGAAGAGCATAGTTTCCAACTGAGACGTAAACCTAATGGTGACAAGAAGCATGGTCAGTCAAAATAGGATAGTTTCTTACAGACCCAGCCACTCTTTTCCATACCCTTTCCCTAAGAGATTCTGATCTCATCCTCAAATGTTTATTTCTGATCTAAGACTAACATTCTAATCACCCCTTTCTAGGGTCCTATTTTAGTCCTTCCTACAAAAAACAACAAAGATAATTCAGTGATTATTTCTTGAACTATGTGGTAGTGAAATACAGCCAAAACTCATTTCTATGTCTAATGTTCTACAAAGACAGAGTTGAATCCTTGCAATAGTCTGGAGATCTCGTAGACTCAAAATATTTACTCTACCTCTTTTAGAAAAAGTTGCTGGTTCTCAAGTAAATCATGAAGAATAACACCTAAAGTAAAATAGCAAGGTATCTGTTTGTCACAGATATTATGCTTTTACTTTTTATACTTTTTTTTTACTTTTTTCTCGATATTTAGATATAAAGAAGTTTGGTGCATTACCTTTTCCAGGACAGATGTGACCTAACATCTCCTAACTCTGGATAGGGCACATAGAGCAGACTCATTTTGAAATGGTTACACTTAACTCTACCTCTTCAACCTTCAAGTAGTAAAGGGCTACTTACAGGGAACTGTGCCATCAAAGGAAAGTCTCCCCACCAGTTAATTGCTTCTATATCTTTGAGGAGAGACTAATGAGTTCCCCTCCCAACCCAGTCACTGTAATTTTGTATACATCCTCAAGGAAGGGTGGGGCCTTGTGAGCCCCCACCCAGAAATTGTTAATTGTTTCTGTATCCTCAAGGAAGTTTGGAGATGTATAACCTCCTGTTGGCAACTGTTAACTGCTTCTGCATGAGTCCATCCCCCCCAGTAACTGTAAACTGTTAACTGCTCATAGATCCTGAGGGAAGGGTGGGGCCTTGTGAGCCCCTCTGCACAGCAACAGTTAACTGCTTGCATATCCCCAAGGAGCCAGGAGGCCTTGTGAATCCCCCTCCTATCCAGTGCCTGTTGAACCCCTCCCTCCTCTATGATGAAATTCTAATAGGCCCCAGTATTGTGAAGGTTTCTTGAAAGGCAAAGGTCAAGTCATGCCCAGAGGACAGTGTGACACAACATTCCTCCCTTCCTTCTAGTTTTGACTTTCCTTCTGCCCTCCCTTCTGGGATGTTCTCTGAATATTGGTGGGAGTGATAAAGGTGCCTACTTTATGGCTAGGTATTCACGAATCAGTTATTCTCAGTGCTTTGACCAGTATGAGTCTTGACAGCAGCCCCCACCCACTGTTAGGAAGCAGCTGACAGCAGAAGTCCTCTCTAAGCACAAACATAAACATTTAGAATGCAAATTGACATAGTGTACATTGATGAAAACAATCACAAGAGTTTCCTTCCTAGGACCTATGACATATGAAGCCACAGGCTTTTGACTAGGTTTACAGTACTAGACATGAATTCATGGAGTGGGCCTCCAGTCTAATTGGAAAGTAGTTGTCTTATTTCATCTTGCTTAGCATGTTTATAGCTCTCAGGCTTCACAGCTTGCATCTCCCTCTGCTTCTCCTGTGCACTGGTTTTGCACTGTCAAAAGGGTCACTTCTCTGATTGCTGTTCTTTCCCTAATGCAAGGCAGAAATCACATAAGTAGACTTTTCTTATCTCCAATGTAAAGCTATGCCTTTTCCTGCCTGTCTGATTAGGTCATTATGAGGTGCCAGTGAAGTAGTGATGGCAGGGGCTTGAAAAGAACAGAGGTGCTTTTCAAGGTCAAGGTCGTCTTATTCCTCCATTACCATTTCTTCTTCACAGAGTATCTGAAAGCAAGTAATGGCCTACCTATTTGGCTAGGAGGAAGAGGACTTAGCTGGCTTTCTCTTACTGTAATTCCCCCACTGTGCATTCTCCTTCCTCAAGCAACCTCTGGAATGCATGGGAGCCACAATGGTGTGATTCCTGGAGCAAGGGCCATATTGAGAGGCCTACTGTCTCTGCCTCCTTTGACATTTAATTCCTCTTTAAATTGAGGAAATCTGTGTGTTCAAACCATTGGAATTATTATCCAGTGTTTATACTGGGCATAGGAAACAGTGACTTGTTGCCATAGAAACAAGATTTCTTTTGAGTGTTTTTTTTTCCCCCAGCTCTGCCACCCTTTGTTGTCACAAGGACAAAAGAATACTGCATTTGTTATCTATGGCCACATAATAAATTACTCCAAATTGTAATAGTTACAAATAACAAATATTTATCATCTCCCAGCTTGTGCTCCTAGTAGTTGTATTATTTCAT